ATGACTAACAGTATCCCAATTCGCTATCAAGCACGGTGGCGGTTCCATTATGGTTTGAGGGTGCATTAATTTAAATGGAGTTGGTTCCTTGTTGATAATCGATGGAATAATGGGAAAGGAGCAATATCTATCCATTTTACAAGAAAATCTTCCAAAGAAATTTTGGAAAGTTGGGTCTTCCTGCCGAAAAATGCGTTTTTCAGCAAGACAACAACCCCAAGCACATGTCCATATTGGTTAAAAAATTGGATTTCAAAACAGAAATTTCAACCTATGAAGTGACGACCACAATCTCCCGACATGAATCCAACAGAAAACTTGTGGAGTCATGTGAAATCGCAGCTGGAGAAATATGCAGTTCCTCCAAGTGGAATGAAGGAGTTGTGAGAACGGCAACAGGGCGTATGGAATGATATTCCCCCGGAAATGGTACGACGGTGTACCCAAAAAATGCCCAGACGCATAGAAGAGCTAAAAAAGTCCAAGGGGATGTGAACTCACTATTAAAAAATCATTAATAAAAATATTTCTTAAAAAAATAACCAGAGTGCAAAACTGTAACATTTGACTTTTTTTACAGTTTGGCGCGTCATTTTCTTTAACTGATATCAAATGGCTTTGAATTTTACTTAATAGTAGTAAATAATATAACCTACAAAACAAGACTAAGATCTTCAAAATCCGTGCATTAGAAAAAAAGTTACACACCTTTGAAGTTGAAACAATGAAATCGTGTTACAGTTTTGCTCGTCAGTGTAAATTAGATATCTCAATTCAAAGTAATTAATAATTATTAAATAATTTTGTATAGAAAACATGACTGTTATATATTATTCATTTTATTTCAATTAAACACTTTAAACATATATAAATACTTCTTCAAGAGCGATTTTTCACTATTTAATTTCAAAACCATTTTTGGTTTATAAAATTGTGTTTTCCAAAAGAAAAACAGCATGAAAACAGAAAACATTTTCTATACCAACTTTCTTCACTGTTTCCAATCCAACTTCTCCAAAATTCTATAAGACCGAAGTTTCACTTTCTGTGAACTTTCACGACTTCCTCAGTAATTGACTTTTGGCCCGGCTATTTTTCGATTTCGCCATAGAGAAATGCCCCCTTAAAACCGCAATCTGTCCTGTCAAATGCACATCGAATTGATGGGGGCTTCACTGTACTGTACCGAGCTGCCAATTAGTGAATGGAATTGTTCATTTTTCTGCGGTTTCCTTTTGCGCCTAACGAATTATGCAAAGCACTCGGAAATTGTCCTGCCTCGCATTTCGTGTTTCCTTTTTAGGGCTTCGAAAACATGGTAAAAACATGGCCAAAATGGGGGGCGTGGCATTGAAGCGAAGGGTGGGGATGAAGTGGTTGGCTGGCTGGACGGCCAATCATCCGGAAATGCGAACGTCACGCACAACCGCAACAAAGAAAGTCAATTAGCAGAGGAATACTCCGAAGAATGTTGGTGGGAAAATAGAGAAAAACAAGCTGGTTTCAATTAATGCGTAGGCCGCAAACAATTTGCCTAAAATCGCTCGTTCAAAAAATCAGCAGGAAATGCACAAACACACACAAACAAGCACATATACTCGTATATATCGAAGAAGACATTTCAATTTAAATTACACAAAAGGACATTTGTCACTTTCAGCTGTAATGGCCGCAGGACGTGCCGCCTTTCCAGCTCTCCTTTCTCCGGCTTTCTCGGAAAGGTGTGTGCGCATGTCGTTTAAATAAATTATTTTCCTCAAGGAAGTGCAATTAAGAAAATGTTTCATAAATTTCCCAAGCCGTTGTAACTTTTGCCTGACCCTGACACTGGACATGGTTTTTCGACTCCCGGCTTTGCAGCCCGGCAGGAGCAATTAGGCGAAAGTCCTAGAAAGTCCACAGTAAGTCCGAGTCCAGTGTCATCCTGGCCAAAAAGCCTGACGATGTGTCTCATTAGTCGAGAACTCCAAGGACTCTTTTATTCGAAAGCGGAGAGGAGCTCCTAAAGTTATTGCCCACTTTCCGGGCGAGGGGCGGAAATAATTAATCGAACACATCCGTTGCACACCCTTTGAGCCAGCAACTGGAGCAGAACCCGAGTGGGTCTAAAAATAAAGCCAAAGGCGTGCCATTGGCCCACCCACAAGAAGAAGGAGCAAGGGAATGGGTTAAATTAAATAGGAAAATCTAAAATAAAAACGAGGGGCGGCGTGTATCACACTAATGATGTGCGGTGAGCATACGAGTAAAGGAATAGGAAGAATAGGGGGAAAATTATCAGCAGATATGGTAATTAAGTTATAAATTATATATTATTATTATATAAAACTGGGTTTCTATATAGCATATATTATCAATATTCTTTTCAGGATTTGGAGGTTTTATGATGATTATAATTTCAATCGCTTCAATCAAAAACAATTGCATACTTTTATGGGTTTTCGTGATGAATCTATTCTACATTATATAAGAACTTAATTTAACACATTTTGAAGAAAATGTGCATTTTTGCTTATCTAATCACAAACAATTAAAATTTTCTCCATGTGCACTCGTAAGAAACTCGATTGTAGAGCTCAAAATCTACACAAGTTTTTCTTGGCTTCCTCTTGAGGAATGAAAACTAACTAAATAACCATTAGCGAGAGTAAAACGCGGGGGTGGTAATAAATGGGTGTCGGGTGTTTTTCGTGGGGACGGGGCACCAAATTGTAATCAAATTTAATTGGTGCACGAAAAACAACGGGAAGAAAAGGAAACCCGAATCGAATCGAATCGAATCGAATGGAATCGAGTGGAAGGAAACCCAACCCAACTCGTACCCATGGATATTTGCCACCATCGTAGGTCCTGGATTGTTTGCCTTTCGGTCAAGAAAAGGGGAGGGGGAAAATGAGAGGATGGGGAGGAGAAAGGACACTTGAATGAAAAGCTTGTTAACTTAATAGAACCAACTGGGCCGAGCTTCTCTTAATTTATTAATGATACTGGCCATGTATATTTGTTCCTTTTCGTAGGACTCAGCCCAGTTTTTCCTTTGTTTGTTTGTGTGTGTGTGTGTGTGTGCATTAGTTTACATGTCAACGAAATGTTTTGTGTCCTGTCAAGTGTCCGGAATTGGAATTGGGGTCTCGGAATGGGAAAACACGACGCAATTCCCGTCGAACTGACAGCATTTGCACCATTATTCATATATTTATGATCCACACATTCCCGTCCCAGTTTATTTTGTTTATTTGTGGCAGGCCGCACTGTACACACACTCTATATATAGCACACATATAATAGGTCCCATTAACATAATTTCGATCGATACGAGCGAGGAAGGTTAATTGCTCGCACGGCTTTTTGGGCCAACGGAATGCTGCTCTAATGTGAGATGATTTGGGCTTTGGGCAAATGGTGATTGAAAGTGATTGGGAAATTTCAGCACAGGCTGTGAAAATTGGGATTCCTTTATTGCAAAATATTCCTAATATTACAATAATAATAGAAGATAATATTAAATAATTATAAAAACTCGTTTTAAATTGTTGGTTCTACATAGCTTTACTGATTCAAATTCTTAAATATTTTATTTCTCAGCTGAAATATAAAATCTACAAAGGGATAGTTTCCTCTTGAGCTTTTTTCTTCAAGGTCCATACAAAATATAGTTTTCAATTTATTTTATTTTTATTATTTTTTTATTTTAAATGAAATATTAGCGCTATAAAGTTTCTGGTAATCCTTTAACCCGGACTTGCTTAACCCTTGCTTTTCCCCGAGTGCTGAGCTCCGGCGAGTCCTTCAATCATTCGCCTGCCCTCTTTTCTCGATATCCTGGTGGCCAGGACCTGCTGGCGCCGCATTCCCACTGCCAATGCCCATAAATCGCTGACCGTAGTTATCGATAAACGATAGCCACGAGCCTTTCACCCCCGTCGCCCCTTTTTCACCCCGCCTCCGTTTTCCAAAAGCAAAATGCAAACGTGTTAACAACGGCCACTTTGTGTCCAAGTGTGTGAGTCTGTATGTGTGTGTGTGCGTTTGTCTGTGTGATCGGGGAGTCTGGGGGTCAAGGGGTCAGAGGAAGAATGGAAGGGGGATGGGGAATCTTTTGATTTATACTCGTGTGCATATTAATATGGCGTTAAAATATGATGCCAAAATTTATGTGTGAAAAACAGGGCGGTGCAGCAGCTGAAGCCACCAACTACAGCACCACAGAAGACATTATTGCGATTCTCTCGGCCAGAATGGCAGCATGAGGACCAGATTTATGGCCAGCACTGTGAGCACCTCGCCCCCTCTCGCTCGCACTCGCTGTCTGTCGATTTATGGGCGCACATTTGGCCAAAGCCGAATCGAAAATCCAGCCAAGAGGCAAAACCGAACTGAACAGAAAACAGAAGACGACGAGCAGGGATATCCGGGATATAGATGGCTATGCCAAGCAGGCGATGTCGCCTAATCGGGGCTTTAATTATCCTCAGATAAGATGGCTAAAATAAAACTTCAGTCTAAGGATTTGCATGTTTAAAATTGCACTAATTGAACGCATAGGAAATGAGGAGGATTAAATGGTTTGCATCTAAACATTTATGATATTCGTATTTGCAATTTTAGTAAATTAAAACCCATGAAGTACACAAATTAAGAGTTACATAAGATGCATTTATTTTTAATCATCAATATAAATGTTATCAAAATTAAATATAATAGCTTAAATAAAATGCTAGGCAAGTGTATAATTTTCTGAATTTCTGAATATTGGAAAATAATGTACACTTCCTTAAATCTGTTTTGGATCTCATTTAGTTGTGTTATAATAGGAAAAACCATATACACCTTTGAAACACGCATTTCGCATTTATAAACCAATGGAATAAATACATTTTTTAAAGCCCTAATATTAATATCAATACATACACTTAAACATATATGGTACTCGTGTTATATAAATACATTTTCGATTAAACCTTTGCTAACTTAGATCATTTCTTTCTATCCCTTTGCAGCAGTCAGCTCGATGAAGCCGAACATGGACAGCACCAACTGCATCCTAGTCCAGGACGTGAAGTCGCAGCCGCACGACCTGCGCGGCGGCCTGGCCAAGGCGAACGAGAAGGGCGTGGCCACGGCCTTCCCCACGGAGGAGTCCATCCAGACGAGCACCTCGGACCACGGCCAGAACGGCGTTCACGGGCTGATGAACGGGGCGGCGGGCGGAATGGCCGGCGGCAGCAACGCGGGCATCCAGCAGCAGCTCCTGCTGCAGCAGCAGCAGCCGCACTCGATCAACCAGCCACTCACTCCGCTGGATGCCACCAATACGCAGCTGCAGGATCACCACCAGCTGACCTACGGGGGTGCGATGTCGAATGGGGGACTGAATGGCGGTCTGAACGGTGGACTGGGTGGCCAACTGATGCAGCAGCCGGGTGGCAATCTGAATGGCCACCACCACCAGGCGCTGCAACCGCAATTGGGCGGCGTGGTGGAGCTGAAGGAGTTCAACGAGGCCTACCACGCCACCATTCCCGCCTACCAGTTCTGGACATTGGAATTCCGCAACAAGCATCCCGCATTCATTCGCTTCAACTTCACGCTGCCCTGGGGCGCCCACTTTGCCGTCTATTCGCGTCGCAATGTGGCGCCTTCGGTGACGCAGCACGACTTCGTCGAGTTCATCAAGGGCGGACGTCTGGACAGCCATTTGCGGCATCGTCGCAGCTCGAATGCCTCGTCTTCGGCTTCGGCTTCGGGTCAGGATGTGGAGCTGTATCGGCAGGAGGAGAGGGAGCAGCAGAGCGGTGAATCGGGATCGCAGGATCAGGACTCCGAGCAGGACGAGAGCCGCGGCTTCGACTCCAGCGAATCGTACGATGTGGAAACCCCCTTGGACACCGCCAAGCAGCATCTGCAGAGGATCGGCAAGCCGCAGAGCCACTGGCTCAACAAGCGGTCTGCTGGCGATGGACTCCCTGCTCTCGACGTGGACGCCATGACCGTGAATGTTTCGCTGCTCCAATATCTGGACACTGGCCTGTGGTTCATCTCGGTCTACAACGATGAGTTGGTTGCCCACTCCGTTTCCCTTCTTGCGGAAGAAGCTGAGGGTGTCAGCACCACCTGTCCGAACGACTGTTCCGGCAGGGGAAGCTGCTACCTCGGCAAGTGCGACTGCATCGACGGCTACCAGGGCGTGGACTGCTCCAAGAGTAAGTCCTTTAAGCTAAGAAATCAGTGGAATCTAATGGAAGCGTTTACTAGGACTTTGAGTTTTGAATAGTCTTTGTTTGGATATTGCTTCCTCCTTTCAAACGGTTTCATAAAACATTAAAAAATCAAAATATATAGTTTTACAAAACTATAAGCCAATGTACTATGTACACTTTCTGTTCTACACAGAATTAAAGTATTTTATCTTCTTATTGCTCATTATTATTTCGATTGATAGAATAACTAAAGCAACTTGTATACCCTTCTGGGAATTCCTTTACGATATACCCCCCAATTATCAGTCTGATTGAGTTCCCCCAGGATCCTTGACCCACTGTGCGGTCACTCGCATATTACCATTATACATTTTCCCATTTGAATTCGTTTTCCCTGCTCCTCTTATTGTCCTTTCTCCCCTACTCACCGCTTTCCCCTTTCTCCGCTTCTTCTTCCAGGCGTCTGTCCGGTCCTCTGCTCCGCCCATGGACACTACGGCGGAGGGGTGTGCCACTGCGAGGAGGGATGGAAGGGGGCGGAGTGCGACATTCCGGTGGGCGAGTGCGAGGTGCCCAACTGCTCCAGCCACGGACGCTGCATCGAGGGCGAGTGCCACTGCGAGCGCGGCTGGAAAGGACCCTACTGCGATCAACGTAAGTGTCAAGGACTCTCCCACCCTCGTGCACTCTTAAAAAAAAAAAGAAAAAAAACGAAAAGAAAAATGATAGAAACACAAGTCGAGATACAACGAAAGAAAAGCGTGTTAGTTTAATAAATTAAGGAAGGATGTTCATCAAAGAAAATGGAATTGTATATATTTACATAAAAGGTGTTTCCTTTAAAATTATTTTTTATATTTTGCTCTACGATAACATTTTTTATATATTATATATATGGTACAAATATTTTTTTTTTGAGTGCATGCCCAAAAATCTGGTGAATTTCGTGACTGACTAGTAAACTAATTAAAAAAATAATTGAATATATTTCAAAATAGAAAAGGGGTTATATTCAAATATGTGACCAGTAATACCTATAGAATCTTTTACAAAATTAAACCACTTTTTGACTTTTTAGTAAGAAGCGAGACAAACAAAATATTACAATCCAAGTTTTAGGCAATTGCGGAAGATTAGCTTCTATACGACAAATTCCTCAAAGTCGGGAAAACTTTTAAACTAAAAGTGAAATTCGGAAATACAGGACTCTCAACTTTTCTTGGCGTGTGTGTGTTTGTGTGTGTGTGACTGTGTGTGTGAGAGAGAGCTCCGCTGACTTGGCATAAAAATGCTAAAATTATTTATTTGCCTTGTTTGCAATTTGGAGCCAGGCTCGGTTCCGTTCCATGTTGACACTGCCCGATAAGGACAACGGACAAGGACGAGTGGGTGGTGATGGGAGGAGGTTGGAAATGGTTGAAGATGGAGGCTGGAAGAGAGGGACGATGGCCCAAGTGGATGCCAAAATATTTCAGTTATTATGCCGACACCTCCTCCTCCTCCACTTCCACTTCACCGTCGGCACTTCTTTTGGCCAAAAATATTCTGGCCTCGCTTTTTGTGTGTGGGCCTTAAATTGACAAAGCGAAAGGCAAAGAAATGCCAACAATTTTTGCCCGACTCTCTAGCACGGTTTTTTTTTTTTGTTTTCTTTTTTTTTCCCCTGTTCCTCAGATAACTTTGAATTAGCCTAAAAGCAGCCAGCTAGCCAGCGAAAACTGAGGCGAGTTTTAAAGAGGGAAGCGAGGAGTTCAGCCAGCCAAAAGCTGTAAAAACAACGAATTGTTAAATAATTCGCAGCGTAAAACAAAGAGGAAATGCGGCCAAAAATATACGTGCTTCCGAGATAAAGATACCCACTAAAAACGAGTTAGAGTGGGGAAATTAAATATCAATGGTTAGCCATTCACTAATTGGATATTTAATAATTTAAATTAGAAGGATACATTTTGGCTTCAAACTTTTATTTTATTGTCACGCGAACTGGAAATTCCTTTCTCATCATTTAGTTTTCTATGTATTTTTAGAAGACTCATTCCCATGACTAATTTGCTTTATTAAAACTGATTATAACAATTTGCGATCTCAAAGCGACTGTAAATTCCTTGAAAACAACATACCCCATCGTAAAATGGGCAAAAAAGTTGGCGCATAAAATATGCAACATGCAACAATATACGGAATGTGGCTCCTGCTGCTCTCCGCATTTGTATGAGTTAAACGTGTGTGCTAGTGTGTGTGCGTGTGTAAGTGTGTGTGTTTTTGAGAATCGGACCCTTGGCATACGAAAACAAACAGGGACAAACAACAAACAGAATCCGAAACAGAAACAGGACCAAAAAACAAAAATAAAAGAGTACCAAGACGAAGGGAAGAGGAAAAAACGTTGAGCAAACATAAAACGTATAAAATCGAATTTATATGTCGAGAGCATATTCCTCATACACATGCAGGCTACACGGAAAATAAAATATCAGCAGGCCACAGGAAAAGTGGGCGGGGCGGAAGAGCATGGCCAAAAGCCAACCGAAAGAGGAGAAAAAAATGGAAAAAAGAGGAAATAAACAGAAGCAAAACAAAGCGGGCCAAAGAAAAATTGCAACAACTGCGCAAAATTACCAACTTGAACTAAACTGGAATTTCATTTTAATGACCACTTTTGTACGTGTCTAACATACTAATCATGTCATGTGTGTGAAAGAGGGAGCGAGAGGGAGCCGAATAGAAAGAGAAAGAGGGAGTCCTTCGGGGCGGAAAGCTTTTTGTTTGGCCACGACTGTCACGATTTTACTGCCCCACCAAATATATATATTTTTCCTCTTTTTCTGAACTCTTTTTTTCCGCTAAATACAGTAAAGACTCAATACAACATAGTCTCTATGTAGAAAACACCAATTTGAGATCATTGTTTTATTTAAAATTAAATTAAAATAAATTCAAATGTGGTTCTTAAAAGGGAAAGCCACTTTTGGTATTTTTGTAAGTGAGGTAAATTATTTAGAATGGAATAGAATATGTATTTTCTTTAAGAGTTTAGTGAAACCAAAAAACTAATTCGAAAACCCAGCAGGATGTTTACTTAATTCCATAGATTTCTTGGCACATTTACCTAAAACACTTTTCACTGTACCCAAGCCATCCGTGTGTTTTGTGTGTTGACTAACAATCGTTTTGTATTTTTTCCCCCAACCAAACGCTGACCTCCGATCCACCACCCACACCCACTGACGATGATGATGATGATGATGATGCCGATGATTATCCTGATGATGATGGCAATAAAGACGACTGCCTGGATCCCCTTTGTTCCGGACACGGAACCTGTGTCGCCGGACAATGTTATTGCAAGGCCGGTTGGCAAGGCGAGGATTGTGGCACGATCGACCAGCAGGTGTACCAATGCCTGCCCGGATGCTCCGAGCACGGAACCTACGACCTTGAGACAGGACAATGTGTTTGCGAACGCCACTGGACGGGTCCCGATTGCTCCCAAGGTGAGTTGAGATGCCAAATACCAAACCGATTCCGTAACGAAGTCCACGTCCAGTAACTGTTTCAATATGTTTAATGTTTCTCCTTTGCTTTTGCTTCAATTCCAAAACAAAACACAAAGTAGGTTAGCTGAAATATGACACTTTGGAATCGAGATACTCTTGGTCTAAAAAGTTAAAAGAATATTTACATATATATATAGTAGACATTAAGATATAAAGGTATGCCTCTATGAAATCGGTATCGTATGAGATATGTGCTCTAAAATCTCAAATTGGGGCCACTTCCTCTGCATTTCACTGGAAACTTGAAAAATCGATATAAAATGTTAAGAAAGATTAACGCTTGGATCGATTTTTTATAAAATGGAAAATTACAACTGCTTATTTGTTAATATTTAATTCATAAACGTTGGGTGGTTAAATATTTTATAGTTATGAATAGCTTCGATTTCTTATCAGAACTTAATCACTTTTTATACAGCCTAAACCTTCGTTTGAAAATCCCCGAAAATCCGATATTAGAGTGGACCGGCTTACTCAGGTCCACCCCGAAACCCAGTATTTTATGCGGGGCCATAAAGTACCGGTTGGAAAATCAGGTACGCATAGCCGTGCAATCACTCAGGAGATCTGTCAGATGATACAGTCCGCCCACCGAAGAAGGCAGCGCCACTCCAGCGAATATGATGATGTTTTATGGCCACAACTAAACCCGAAATTAGAATGGAATGCTGGGCCATAAAGCCGGAGCTTCCAATTAGGCCCACGGTCGAGGTCCATAATCATGCGGAGGTGGAAGTTGGAAGGTGGAAGGTAGAGAGCGAAATCAGCAGAGAATCGGTGGAATTCCGGGGGCAGGAGCTCAATAAAACAAGCGGCTTACGATGCCACCGAAGGCCAAAGGACACGTACTCCTAATTTGCTTAACTTTTTAGCACCAGAAGGAGCAAACCGGGCCGAGGGGTGCATACTATATCGGATATATTGTACGGTGGCCACCGGAGCCACCACGTTGACGACTCCTCCCGGCGTAATGAAGCAGAGTCTCATAAAAATTCATTATTTATTTAATACGCAGGTTGGCGCTGGCACTGCGCTCTCTTTTGGCCCCCGCAAAAGCAAATAAAATAAATTTACGCCTGCTAACAAAAGTCGTGGGGTCGAGAAGCAGCCACCCCCAAAAACCAGATTATGAACTAAACCATAAATTAAAGCTGCTGGGGAACAGGAAAACAAGAAATCCCAGGACCAATCCAATGAAGAATCCAATTCAAAAATTGCCGACAAGATAGAGCCTGAATAAAACATGGCTTCATTTTTGAATAGAGTCTTAAAGTTTGCTAGCTTAAAGTATGGTTGTTTAAAAACTAATTTCTTTATCAGTAAACTTAAATTAACTAATTTCAAGAGGTTTAGTTAACACGTTTTCTCCTTTAACCTTTTCTTAAATTACATAAAGACCTCCTGCTGAGTTTGAACAACTCCTGACAGCGGGAACGAAAGTTAACCAAGTCATGTTCGCTAAATCAATATCCATGAAGTAATCGTACAACCAACCTATGAACCAACTTATGAACCAGAACAGTTGACCATTCCCAAGGAAAGCCCCCCCGTCCGTTGGTTCGAGGAAAAGCGACATCTCCGGGAAAGGAAAAGAAAAGAAAAGCGAGAAGGGGGATGCGAATGGAAATGGGAATGGAAATGGTGCGGAGGTGTGGGTCTTGTTAGCAAAGTGTGCCACCACGTAAATGTTACATTTATAATGCTGTTTTTATGGCTCCCAGCACCCGAATGCCTTTTCCCCCTCCTTCCACTTTGTGGAAAGCAGCCTGCGAAACAGAAGCTTTAATGAATTTAAATGCGCACATGGACAAATGTGAAAAGTGGGTGGAAAAAAATGGGACCAGGAAATCTCAGCACCTTTACAACAAGGAAAAAGTGCAGAAAAATAGGGTTAATTACCTCGATTACGTATTTATTTTTCTATCCGTAAGATACGTCTTTTAATTTAAAATTATTACTCTTTTCTTTTACTTAATTTCTGATAGTGATTTTGGAATGATGTATTTTTGATACTAATGCCTTGTCATGTTTTTTATTTTCCTGCAGCTGTCTGCAGTTTGGATTGCGGCCGGAACGGAGTGTGTGAGTCCGGAAAATGCCGCTGCAATTCCGGATGGACTGGCAATCTGTGTGACCAACTGCCCTGCGATTCCCGCTGCTCGGAACACGGACAATGCAAAAATGGCACCTGTGTTTGCTCCCAAGGATGGAATGGTCGTCACTGCACGCTGCGTAAGTATACCAGAACAAAAAAATAAAATAAGGAATTAAGAAACCGATAGAGTCTTACATTTATTAAAAGTAGTGAAATCATACTTATTTGACAGAATTATAGAGTGGTATAAAAGCATACAATAAAAGGTAATGTAGGTATCGTAAGTTCTTCTTTTTGGCAGCAGCCGAATTCTATGCAATACCGTCAGTTACTTCAAAGCAGCAACTTTTCGGCGGTTAGCTGCACCTGCCACGCCCCCAAGTACCGCCCACGCCCACTGTCAATGTAGCTGCTGTCGTGGCTGTTTTTTAAGTTTCTTCCTTTATTTTTTCTGCCAACGTGGCTGTCGTGTTTTTTATCAATTCCTCTTTTTTTCGGGCTGGGAGTCGATGCACCAAAGTATTTTGTACATGTTTACGCCATTTGCTCTCTACTTCAGCTTTGCACCAAGCCCAACCCTTTGATTTTCGGCCCCCTCCTCGGGGAATTTTCCTCCTGCTACTGCTAAAATTTCCCACCCCCTTAAAGATTTTCCTCTTTTTTTTTTTTTTTTTTTTGGCTGGAAGTGCGTTTGACAGTTTTGCCGCCATGACTTAACCATGTTGTTTGGGGCAAACAAAAAACAACAGCAATGAAAAGGAGTAGCAGTAGCAGCAGCAGCAGCAGGATACGACTTTTCCGGGGAAAAGCCAAGGGCAGAGGCACTGCAGCATGATAAGTAGCTATCGATTGACAGTGATTAAAACTTTAAAAACAAACAGTCATGTTAAAAAAACATTCAAACGTGTGGCGCCCCCTGGCGGGGGCGGTGGCAGGCATGCATGTAATGGCATTACGAACCCCCTCTCCAAAAGTGGGGTTAAAGCTCGGGGAGGGGGCTAAAACCACCTACCACCTCCGCGATCAGCATTTCGTTGACGTGTGCAAAACCAATAAAACTTCCGACGTCATTCGGAGTCACCAGCAATCTTATCCCCTTCTCTTTCTATTCGAAGGGTTTCCTCTCTCTCTTTCACTCTTTCTGTCCCCCGGGAAACAGTCTTTCAATCGATTCAAGTGCCGCATATGCGAAAAGGGGGGCGCAACGAAAAGGGGGCCGCCATAGACGTCGCACCAACACTTGCACCAAATATGGTATCTGTGTCTGGCTTTCGGTTCTGTATTTTTTTGAAAGTACTTAACGACTTTGGATCAGAGCTGCTAGCGATAGGTTACAAAGCGAAATAGTTGGAGTTTTTATAGTAATTTCTTAATAAGCTTGTTACCTTGTTCTTAAAAAAAGTAACCAATTAGAGCAGAGTTTAATATGTAACTAGATATTATTCGAACTTTATTTTGTAATTAGAAAGTTTTTCTGCAGATAGCAGATGATGAGTTTGAATAAAATGTATAATATAAACAATACATTTTTTGTAATAAAATATTTTTTTTTTTTATTAAATCATATTGGAAGTACAAATTATATTCATAATTTACACATAAATAAAAGATAATTTGCATATATTTTGAATGATTAAAATAGTTTCATAAAAACATTTATTTAGTTCCTTATCGCCTTGAAGATTTTTCGTTTACTCATTACTTGAATTTTCTACTACCTCAGAAAATTTTGAAATTTTATAATACATCCTCAGAGTTTCTATTGATTAGGTTACTTTTAGCTAGAAATTTGCTAAATAGACAGCCGAACTTTGCCAGGGCTGAAAATGGGGGCCTGCACATGGGTGGGCGCATTCAAAGGGGGTCTCTGCACAGATTAGACCTTTCAGCTGAACTGCAGTCTGCCAGTGAACTTCAATGCGGCAGAGTTGATTGAATTCGAAACAGAGATTTCCAGCGAATTACGCGCTACCGAAAACTCCACTCAATTGGCCCTCTTCAGGGGCAAAATAGGAGGGTTTTCCACGGGGTTTTCCCGGGGGTTGGGGGGGAGGTTTCTAGGTTCACAGACACCCGAAAGCCACATGCATACTTGATGTCGTAGTTACATTTAGTTTCCCGACTCCCGAAAACCCAACGCCCTCTATTTCTATTCCCTTTTCTATCACCCGTCGTCTCATTCAAATATTTACAATGTTTTCCCCATCGCTGGCGTTTTTCAGCATTTTTTTTTATGCTAGCTGGGATTTTATTATGGATTGTAAAATATGTGCAGAAGTGTGTTTGGGGAGATTACAACATTTTTTTGAATGGCCAGGCATAAAAAACGAGGGATTTGTACGCCGAAAGTGATAAAATAGAGGAGAAATAAGCTTCGCAGCGGGTGGAAAAGCCAAACGGGAAGTGGAAAACCTGCAGACACTCCTGTGTTAAATACAAATAAAGGAAAATAGTACGGCTTGCAAACTTGAACTTAAAAAAATACCAAATGGGAATATGAATGCCAAAATACGAGGTTAAAAATGGAATCATGTTTTGGTTATATTCGCACTGCGAAAACAATAAACATTGGGGATGGCGAAAGGATATTATTTGAATAAGTATTGCTTTAAATTGGTTTGGATCTTCTTTTAATTAAATTTGTTTCAAAAACACAGAGTTTAAAGCACTGAAAATAATTCAATTCATATTGTTTTTCCTCTTTAACATTATCATTTGCTTAAAATGTCTAAAGTGCTAAGTTGATTGAATTTGTTGTTTCAACATATCAGGTCGTCGTTCTTCGGGCGTTCTTTCTTCAACGAAACCCCAGTTTGTATGCAGTAAACTTGGCCATTTCACTGGGGCTTTTTTATAGTTCTCTGAGGTTCGAGGTCTAATCCAGTCAAAAGATTTGACATGTTCCCCCCTCGGAGTTTCTGCCGCCCCGAGAGTTCAATATTTGCAAGACCACTTGAAGTTATTGCCAATATGTGCACACAAACACGCACTCAACGAAAGAGACGGCATGATGGCGGTGGAAAGATTGGAAAGAGAGGGGGCGACTCGTAAACAGGAAGGCAGTAACAACCAGGGAAGTCATTTTATGCGCCGCAAACTTTTTAACATGCCGGAAGCTGAGTTAGCAGCCCCCTTTTCCCCTTTCCCTCCTTTCCCTCTTTGAACCCCCCTCGGAATCGAGTGTAAAGGCCAAAAAAAGGGGGCTGGGGTGGGTGGTACTACCTTACCCCATTTCGCAAATGACACATGTCAAGTGACATTAACTTTGCGTCAAATGCTGTCGTGGCACAAACAAATAAAGCCCGGGAAAAAAACGTAAAAATGGGGCCAAATCATCTATCGTTAGGTTACGTTTCGTTGGGTTTTTATGTTTGCCCAACATTTCGCCGAGTGTTCTGCCAAAGGTTAACTGCCACTGAGAGTGAGAGCAAACATCAACATTATTTTTATATTCATGATGTTGACTCGTGAAGGGGAGTGGAGGGGGGTTGGGTTTTTAAATGGAAATACCCGTGCAAATGGCGACGGGCAGGGTGTTATCATTCAATTTGAAGCGCCACTCGATCCGGACAGTTTACTCTTAATTACGGCGAACCATTTGCTACAAAAATCCAAGCGCTTTAAATAAAACGGCACACAAAACGTGGATAGATTGCGTGTTAAATTACTCGATAAGAAAGGTGCTCGAAATTATAATGGTAGGACCGTGGAAAGAAGTTCTTAATCCTCACTTTTGCTGATGATTAACATTATTAATTCAAAAATGTATTATATATTTTTACTTTAAACAAATAAAAGGTTTTTTTTTTGTTACCTATAATTTAAGAAACAAATATTTTCATAAATTTCTTTTTTATATCCATAGCTGGCTGTGAAAATGGATGCTCTCGACATGGACAATGCACCCTGGAAAATGGAGAGTATCGCTGCGATTGCATTGAAGGTTGGGCTGGAAGTGACTGTTCCATTGCACTCGAACTGAACTGCAAGGATAATATCGACAATGATGGCGGTAAGTTCCGTATATGAATAAATAAATAAAATAACCAAAGAAAATGTTTTATTAATGCATAAAATATGTTTGGTATAATGAAGCTATTTTGTTTAGAATCTATTTGGTGTAAAACAGTTTTGTTATATCATATCACATCATATATCAAAGCTAATACAATATTCAAGGTAGAAAAGTCTTAATAAATTTAAAAGAGATTCCTAAAATACACACGCCACGTATTCAATATTTATATATTTATTTTATACATTTACTATTTTATAACATAAATAAATAATAAAATAATAATTTATTCTGTAATTATTTTGAACTGATGATGCTAAGTTTTTGTACGCTGTATATAGATGGCATGACCGATTGTTCAGACAGCGAGTGCTGCTCGCATCCCGCCTGCTCGGAGCACATAATGTGCCTCTCGTCGAACGATCCTGTGGAGGTCCTGCTGCGGAAGCAACCGCCCTCGGTGACGGCCTCCTTCTACCAGAGGGTCAAGTTCCTGATCGAGGAGAACTCGGTGCAGTCGTACGCCCACATGGACGAGTACAGCGAGAAGTAAGTGATTCGCCCTAGAACTAAGCATTATCCCGTAGCGCCCCTCTATCTATATATATATAGCCTATATATACATATACGTATGCGTCTGACTCTTAGTGCGCAGGGATCACGAATGACCAGTATAAAATATAATATGTGAGAGGGCCTGCCATTGAGCGACTCTTGAGTTAACTTCCTCAGTTCGAATCTCTTTTGGTTTCCAGTTCGGTCTTTTGAGTTTCGTTTTTGAGTTGCAGACGGCGATCGTCCCGTGTATATCCGAAATTACTATATATGCGGCGACTTTTCGGTCTGCGATTGAGAAATTTTTCATTGGAATTGCGTTTGAACTTTTTCCGTTTTCGGTTCTGTGTGTATTCTTTAAGCTTTACGGGTGCAATGAAGGGAAAAAGCTCAAATTTATTCTATATGAAGCGTGTATATGTGTATATAACCAGTTGGCCAGATGGCCAACCTGATCACCTATATATATACATATATGCCATATTTTACGTTATGCTTTACAAACGAACAACAACAAAAAAAAAAGAAGAATCTGTTTATGTTTTATACCAACTTCAACTAAACACACTGCCAGTAGTCTCAATCAATCAATCAGTCGAAAAAAGAAAAAAATCAAGAAGCAAAAGAAATGAAAATCTAAACCCATTCACATTCCCACAATCCCGAACGCCTCTCTCCCCTCAATGAGTCTATCATTTATGCGCTGAAAAAAAAATGTTTAAAAAAATATTGAGATGAGAATGTGAGAATCTCAAGTCAAAATGTTGAATTTTCAAAGTTTTTTTTCTCTCGTTCCTCTGAGTTCTCTTCCCCACCGTTCCGTTTCCATTTCGATACGTTTCGTTTCATATTCGGTTAATCCTTTTTTCCTGATTTTTCCCACCACAAAAAAAGAAGAAGAAGAGGAAAACGAAACGACATTTTCCTAGTTTGAGCTTTTTCTTTTCTTGCCCGCCTGGGAAATGCCAAGCCAGTGAGAAGAATCAGACGCTGATGATGACTACTTCCAGCGCGCAAAAAAGAAACCCGAAAATAATATATATTTCCATTGTTTTCTCAAAAATATTACGTACTCTTTTCCGTTGATAACCTTGAGTTTTGTGGTTAGGGGATCCTTGATCCTCCACCGCGTTTTGTTTTCACTTAGTTTTCCTTTTCTTTCTGCCGCCTCATTTCTCTCATTCTCTCGAACTCTACATGGAGCAAGAAAAAATCAGAACTTTTTAACGAGAACATTACGAGAAAAGCGATAATATAATGATAGCACTTCATTGAGTATGTGTGTTGTCTAGTGTTAAACCTCCTTGTGTTCGTCTTACCCCAAAAAAAATATACAAAATATAAAAAATAACCGAAACAAATGATATAAAAAATCTCCCGAAGTTAGGCCTCCATCGATGCGTAAGTGATCGATCAGATCGAGTGTAAAACTAAGACCAGACCTAGCTACATTATCTATCGATAGTTAACTTTACATTTGATTTGCTTTCGTTTGGTTTCTTAAGCGAAGTATAGTCTGTCATTGTATCTATATATAATCTATATAGCGTGTCTCTTGAGTTATTGCTATGATTTCGATTCTGATTTGAAGACCCCACCAAAAAAAAAAAAAAAAAAGAGAACTACGCCGATGCCAAGACCAAGAGGAGAGGATTCCCAAAACACTGAGGAAGACCGATGAGCGAAATTGATTTTCAGTTATTGTTTCGTTTCCAATTCCCCCGTTTCCCCCTTTGTTTCGATTCTGTTTAGTTCCGTTTCGTTTCCGTTTCCGTTCCGCATTTAACCAACTAACCATACTAAACCAACCAAGATGATATATCAGTCAAGCCCCAAAGATGTCTGCCGATCTCCGTCTCCGTCTCCGTCTCTGTCTTCGTCTTCGTCTCATCATCCGACTAAGTGTGTTCGTCAAATGTGTTATTTTCCGTTTCTTTCTCAGCGTGTCGTTTCCGTTTCCGTTACTGTTTCCGTTTCGTTTCCATTGCCTTTAAGTTCTCTCTTTGGTTCACTAAGCTATGAAAGTACAAATCTCCACCTTAGGTATGCTAAAAGTAAAAGCAAACAAAAATTATTACCAATTGTTAAGCAATATCAAAGTTTGATCAATTCGTTAACGAAACGCATTTTTGTCTTTTGATTTCTTTTTTATTGTCCTGTCAATTAATTGTGTACTGTCCTACTCTGTTGCTGTGGCTCGATACCTTCATGTTGTGTGCTAAACCAAAACCAAAACCAAAATATCAAATCCAAATCAAATTTCAACACCAAATCAAAATGCATTTCCTACATGCAAATCAAAATCTAAAAAAAAATCACAAAAAATCCTACGTTTCAACTCGTGAATTTGTAGTCTCTTCTGGAGCTCGTTCACACCTTGGTAAGTCGAAAAAAAACACTTAAAAAAGGAAACACAGACGTACAATTTTTGGGTACTCCAAAACAGAAAAAAAGAAAAAAAAAAAAAACAAAAATCTTTGTTACAGTCGCATCTTCTTCAGTTGATTCTGGATTTTATGTTTCCATCATCCAAGCATCCAACCGATCCATTGATCCATAAATCCATCGAATCCAATTATCCATACACATAATGCATCGATTATGTTTATTCGCTTTCGGTTTTTTTTTCCGTAAAATGCATCCATGAAATCACATTCGATACTTTTTGGTTCACAGAAGTAGGTGGCATCTCTCATCACTTCCTTTTTCCTATATCGTTCCAACCTTAAATCAGTTGCAGCTTAAGTTTGCAAGTAAAATTTTTGAAGAAGTTATCAAATCTTTAGAATTTTCTGTGCTTTTAAAAAGTATTTAAAAAAAAAAAAAAAATTTAATAGTTCTGTACAAAAATCCGACTCTTCTTCCAAAGAATATTTTTAATTCATATAATCATAATAACTTTTTCAACGAAGACCTTTTTGGAGAATTTAACGAATGTGTTGCTATAAACAGCCTTAAAATATTAAAAAAAATATTTGCGAAAAGCCTGCAATTGACTTTTGAGTTTTTTCCTCCGAATTGTTGTTCAACATTCAAATGCCCCACGGCTGTGATTGCATTATAATTGTACCAGCACCAACCCAATTCGCACTGCCCCCGCATATAATGCCATTTTGTTGATTTTAAATTACATTTCAACAGACACAAAAACTGAGAACCGCAAAAACACAGAGATCGAAAAGTCAACAAATCATTCATGTAAATAAAACACGACAACAAGAAGAGTGAAGACAACAAAAAATAAAAATTAACAACGGAAAAATGCATTCATAATTTTTATCTCACCAATACACCAGCACGAACACTCGCAAAATAATAATAATAAAAAAAAAACAAAGAAATAAAAAACACATGCATATCATGAGTTTGTTTTCCATATTTATTTCCATATTAATTTTCATCGTTTTTCGTTGGCATACTTTATAGGGCAAGATGAGAGAATCTCGATATATATATTCACATATATATATAGATAAATAATTGTATGTGTTATGTGTACCGTGTCTATATGTGTATTTAGTTTGATTTACGATTTGTGTTATTTCCTTTGTCAATCAACCAACGATATTAACACTCATACTAACCCATTACCCAAAGCGAAAGTCATCGAAATCGAATATTTTTGTTATAATTTTTCCTCTACTCTACTCATAGTTTGGCATGCGAGCATTTCAAGCTGATTTTCGTTTGATTTTACCCGAGGTTCTATATTTTTTCCACTTCTCCGCCACCTTTTCTCACATTACTCTCTATATGTCTGTCACCACAAATCGTCCCCGATCGTTACTTAATTCTTATTCTGATTTTCCATCAACGAAACTCCACCGATTTCCTCCCTCATCTCTCTCAATCTCTTGATCTCTGTAAGTTTTACTTTGTTTTCGTTTGATTTTTGATCAAAGCTTTTTATGGTAAACAAATCTCATCAAATTGTAATCACTTTATCAGTTACCGTATCGATTTTAATATCTCTGTTGATGTTTTGTTAACCAAACGAAGGAATTAAGTATACAAAAACAGAAACTCGATAGGTTTCCCATCCAATAAAATAAAATGAAAACCCAAAGGTCAGCAGCAGAACAAAGACAAAGAAAGAACCAATTCAAGCTAATTAAAATGCAAGTAAAACGAAAGAAAATATCTGTATATCCTTATATGTTATCACTCAAAAAAATAACAAAAAAAAAAAAAAAAAAAAAAAAAAAAAAAAAAACATCCCTACAAAACCCCCAAACGTATCCCTAAATGTCCTAATTGTCTGCGTCTAAGCCATTTGTTTATATGTTTTCCAAATACAACGAAACTCACCCACTCACACACACAATTCCACACGCATACATCCATCCATCCGCTCCAACACAAGTGAAATTCTGCATTTAAAAGAAAAGAACAAAAGCGAAAGTTTAATAAAAGCAAAACAAAAATTAAGGAAGAACAGAAAATTATTTACAAACAATTTATAATGCAAATTATGACATCAGGTTTTTCAGTTTCTTGTTCCGTTTTCCGTGTATTTTACTTTTTTCTTCTTAAATATATGTATATATATTTTTAAACCGTCAATGCAATAACATCTCTTCGGCAGGCCGAAGTTATAAATGCCCTTGCAGAAGTCCTTTTAAACCAAAAGTGGGGAAATGTTAAACATTTGAAGCAGTGTGTTATATTTAAGAGCTTTAAATATTATTGAAATGAGTGACATGGAAATTTTAAATGATATACAAGCCATGGCCGTTAATTGTGCAAAAGCAGTAAAGTGTGGGTGGCAATTGCAAAAAAAAAGGAACTATTAATGCCCCGTTCTCACTGACAGTTATCGGATAATTTTATAGACCAAGTAAATTAAGTGATTTTTACCCAGTTAATTAAGTGTTTTATCAGGCGATGGTTTAGTTAAATTATTTTACGCAATGCTAGATAAAAAAATGAGGGAAAGAGTTATCCTTTTAGTTCGAGTATAAATTGCTTTAATTAAAAGTAATAAACATATTTAT